AAAAGGCGTAACCGACTTGTCATAGTGCCTGATGGATAGTAACAATTGCAACTTCTGATGGGATGGCTATTTTACGTATCTGATTTGAGTCGTAGCGTAGGTGACAAAGTATTCTTTCTTATAAAAATTTTAATTTCAATATGCATAAGATATGGAATTTAGGGAAAGGAATTTCCATGTCTGGATTTCATGGTCGTCACGGGCGGATATTGTGTGTTGTGCATGGTAAAGATTTGGTTTTCACGGGTGGAGATGACGCGAATTTCCGACTGGTATTTTGATGATTACAATAAAATATTTATTTACTCTTATACTTGCGGTAAACTATTAATGCCGTTATACAATAATTATTACAAAACAGGCACAATATGGAAACCTCCCCAACATTAACCCAATTCAGGTCATTATATCAACGGCTAACATGATTATGTCCACATATTCGCATGTAAAAACAACCTTACCCATCGAACCCAATCGTAGGGTAGATATTCGTACATCAAAGAGCAAGAAATTGAAAATTTTACTGCAATTGAGTGCAACACCTGTTCGACGTAAGAACCTTCAATATTGCATTCTCGATCTTGCGAAAAGGTTATATGGTGGTGATTTAGTAAAGTATTGGAATTTTGGGCTGACGAAGAGAGCTTGAACGATCATGATCAACAAAGTCCATTGTCCGTAGATTTATTTTTCGGAGAAGGATATAATACAAGAAGACTAATTGTAAAAGGAGATTCACAATATTCTCCGTTTATCACCTGTATATAAAAATTTTCTCATTATATATTTATATATAATATATATTTTGAAGTAAATTTTATCGCACAATTCCTCAGAGCAGTCTATTGGTTCAGGTGGCCTAAGTTAATCCAAGTCTGTCACTGGAATTATGGTCAAATAATTTTTCTAGTTTAGTTAAATTCTGTGAAGAAAACAAGAACTTTCTAATCAAAATTGGATACTTCTTGCACTTAGTCCCTTAGGTACGCAGATGGCTTTGATTAAACAAATTATTTTATACTCATTTATAATATTAAAATAATAATATTTAGCCGGACGAGATGTATGGCAGTTTTTAATGCGCCTGCAAGCGTTGGTTAACATGTGGGAAGATATATCAGGCTATTGACATCTACATAAAGCTGAGATGTATCGGTAAGTGAAAATTCAAATTCACAATTAAGCGAAAACTAATATATCAATTTTTATTTATACAGTGAGGCTATTGCACTCACAAATCTGTGGCTTATTTCTGAAGACTCAATAGTATCAGAGTTGGGTTGTTCTTGGGCTATTCAACTTGAGAAAGAAGAAGCTTATGAACAGGCTGTTATATGGTAAATTGACGTAAAACTTCGGATTTTAACGATGAAATTTAATTCATACTTGAATAATTTTTTTACTAACTTATGTAAAATTCAATAAATTGCTTAATCGTAATTAAGAACTAATGATTATGTCAAAGATGTCTAGGAAAAATAAATTGGAAGCGATTAATAATAGAGGATTAGATAAGCGGCAAGAAAAGGATATAGCATACAAGCAAAAATATCCATGTAAATACAATTTAATAAATCAAGATAATTGTACAAGCGCATAAAGTATTTAAGAAGTCTCAGTTATAAGCATTACTTATAGTATATACAGTAAATTGATATCATTATTTTTAAGTATCGCGCCACTAAAATTAAATTATTTCAATTGCTTTAATTAGTCAAAGACCCATTGCTTTATTTTATTATAATAAAAAATTTTTATAATAAGATAGTTTTTGACAATAAAAAAATAATATTTAAAATTAGATAAAAATAATATTCCTATGCAAATATTCGAATATGATGATGAATCGATTTCTCACAATATATTCAAATGAATTATTTGAACGCATGTGTAATTTAATTAACAATGAACAAATCAAGAAAATTATGGGTGGGGAATTAAAATAGTGTAGATAACTAGGAAACAAGTAGAAAAAAATTAATTGAAAGTAACTATTCTAACAACCAATCAAATTTCATCACATATAACCAGAACCTGACCCGATGATCTTCGGGTTAATGATCGACCCGATCCAAACCCGAAATTTAATAAACGGGTTGTATCGGGTCAAACCCGAACCCGACCCGAACTGACCCATTCGGAACACTACCGTAAACACTGCATACACCTCCCCTTGAATACTGTAGTACCCTTCCTGATTTTTTTAATAGTACTTTTCTTTAAATTAAATTGGTTTGGATTTTTGACCGACCTTGAATTATCAGTGTAACATGCAATACAGTATTTTGCGTGTGCATTTGCATCTTATTACAGTATATTATTAACTTTCGTTAATCATGGATTTTACTGAAAGAATGATTAAAGCAGCATTAGGTGATTTTTATTAACTAGTTAAACATTTTCATTAACAATTGTTGATATTTCTAGCAAGGTGGTTTAATTGATCTGAGTTATATTCTTTACTTTAACTACTATCACAGTCGGTAAGCATATTTTCATTAATATTTGTTGAGTAAATTCATATCTTCGGTGGTTTAATTGATCTGAGTTATATTCTTTACTTTAACTACGATTACAGTCGGTAAGTATATTTTATTATATTTGTTATTTTAAATGAATTAAATTTTTCTATTTACTATTAGCTCTAATATTTTGAGTGATGATATATTTTGATTACTTAGATAAATGCAACCAATGTAGAAGAAAAACTACGAGTTATTACTGGTGTCATTCTTGCAACTCCCTTAGTTTTAAAGGAGAATTTAATAAATGGACAAGCGGAGATAAAGATGTTGATAGTTTCATACAAAAAGTGCAATTAGAAGCGACAAGCAGATTCAAGACACTTGAATGGATTCCATATGAAAAATTTGAAAATATCGAAAAAATTGGTGAAGGTGGTTTTGCTGAAGTTTATTCGGCTGATTGGAAGGAAGGACCCATCTTATATTGGAACAAATATAATCAATGGGAGAGATCCGGGGAAATAAGGGTAGCACTAAAATGTTTAAAAAGCTCTCAAGAGATATCTAAAGAATATTTGGAGGAGGTAATAGTTATATTATCAATGCAATGAAATTTTAATCCCTTTCGTATCGCGTTATAAGATTAATTATTTATTAGTGATCATTTATAAACTTATATAAAATGCCTTGCTAATAACAAATTTAACATAAAATCTAGATAAAAAACCTTCATAAATTAAACGATTATGAATCACAAATTACCGTATGCTATGGAATCACCAAAGACAAAAAATCAAACTTTATGATCGTTATGAAATTTGTTAATCATACTAAGGCGATTCACGAGATATCGTGGAATGAGAAGTTCAAGCGTTTACATTATGCTGCACTTGGATTATATAAAATTCACAACTCTGGATTAATTCACCGGGATTTTCACCCTGGAAACATTCTTTTTTCTAATAATAATGCCGCGGTTTACATAACAGATTTAGGTTTATGCAAACCAGCTAATTATAAGACGAAAGATGTTGAACTATACGGAGTTCTTCCTTATGTAGCCCCTGAGGTTTTTCATTATAAGATACATACAAAGGCTGCAGACATCTATTCATTCGGAATGGTTATGTACGAAGTATTTTCTGGTGCCTCTCCTTTTAAAAATGTTGATTGTGAAAATGAGGAAGAAAGCAAAACCCTTGCGATTGAAATCTGTAACGGGAAGCGACCAGAAATTCAAGATCTGCCCCCTTTAATAGTTGAATTGATAAAAACATGTTGGGATGTTGATCCAGCAAGACGACCATCCGCAGAGGACTTGTGTAAAATTTTAAATGCTTGGAAAAATTTTACATCCGATTCCGAACTTGAAAAGCAAATTAATGCAAGTGAAGAGAATCAGGCGCGTCAACCAAGTGAACAAATTCATTTAAGTCAATTTCTTCGTACAAGCAAACTTCTTGATTTTAAAAATCTTTCACAACCCAAAAATTCCGAAATTGAGATTGATTTAACAACTCAAGAGCAAAATCTTAATCATGGCCGAAAAATTAATGCCCAAGATAAATAAGACATATACGAAATTCCGTCAGCCAAAATTTTTTCTTCTCCTAAATATAAATTAGAAATATTTTCAAATCCTCTACTTTTACCTTGTTGTATCGAAAAACTTTGTATAAGATTGTGTAATGAAGTAAAAAGTGCATTCTATTGTACTCTTCAGAATTCTGGGAATATTTTTAACCCAAAGTAAATGCACGTTGAATTTAATTGCACAAATAAATAAACTAATAAGTTATGGCACGAAGAGTAAATTTTCACGATGAGAAACAAAACAAATAAAGGCTTTATAGCGCAAAATATATGTTTCCGTAAACTTTATATAAAGATTGTTCGATAAATAAAATCGAACTTTGAACAGATAAGTTAATTAATTGAAAAACTTTTTTATTAAAATCGAAAGATTAAAACTTGAATCATACAAACTGATCTTTAGTCTTTATTCTAAATATTGAATAAAGATCTCGATTTATGGTTGAAAAAATTTAATTTTTTCTTCCAACAGTTATTGTGTTGTATTTTATTCGTGGCTAATTATACAGTATTTGCCAAGTAATTGGTTTTTGTTTAAATTCGGAGTTGCGATCATCAATCATGTACGCGTTCTGACAAAGAACAATATCACGTGAACGTAAATATACTACCGTTTCTGTTAACATATAATTACTTGAAGAAGTTAGTTCAATAATTCCATAAACTATTTAAAGACTTTTATCAAACGAACTCACGATTTCGAACTATTCATTACGTTAAACATTCTTAGCTTAACTTCCAAATAACTAACATTTTTCAATGAACCAAAGTGTGTCTCAAGTGTTTTGAGGAAACATTACCGAGCATACCTAAACCTCTTGAGCTATTGACATGTAGACAATGTCTTACACTTAGAGTGTATTGATAGTGATTGCAGGCTGTGCCATCAATGCCCGTCGATTAATGATCAAGGATACTATGTAAATCCCTCCATTTCAGCATATGGATCCAAAGAATTATGAAAGGGACAGCAAAAGTAGACCTAATAAAATTATCTAAGAACCATCAGCTGATGATCAAATTTTAGATTCGAGTGAACTATTGCCTAATAGTATGCCATCCGAAAATACTAACATGGAAAAAAAGACAGATCAGCCCAATCGTCTGTATTATGAGATTGACGTAGCCAGAAAGAAAGGTGATCAAGAAAACTGGAAAGCCATTCAGAGTTATCTTCGATTCAAAGAAGCTCTGTCGATATATCTTGCTTTATTATTAAAAGTAATTTATTGCAATTGGCTAATACAAAACTTAACAGTGAAGTAAGGGAGCACCTTCCAGAAAACACTACCCATGATATAGTGCGAAAATATTAATGAAAATGTGCTTACAAGCTAAAAGTAAAGGATATAACTCAGATCAATTAGACCACCGAAGATATGAATTTACTCAACAAATATTAATGAAAATATGCTTACATCCTAAAAGTAAAGAATATAACTCAGATCGATTAAACCACTGAAGATATATGAATTTACTCAATATTAATGAAGATATGCTTACCGACTGTAATCGTAGTTAAAGAATATAACTCAGATCAATTAAACCACCGAAGATATAAATTTACTCGATAAATATTAAAGAAAATGTGCTTACAGGCTAAAAGTAAAGAATACAACTCAGATCATTAAACCACCGAAGATATGAATTTATAAACAAATATTAATGAAAATATGTTTACCGTCTGTAATCGTAGTTAAAGTAAAGAATATAACTCAGATCAATTAAACCACCGAAGATATGAATTTACTTAACAAATATTAATGAAAATATGCTTACCGACTGTAATAGTAGTTAAAGTAAAGAATATAACTCGGATCGATTAAACCGCATTGCCAGAAATATCAACAAATATCAATGAAATTTTCAATTAGTTAATAAACATTACCCAATGCTGCTTCAATCATTCTTTCAGTAAAATCCATAATTAACGAAAGTTCATATACTGTACTAAGAGCGATATCGATGCATGTTACCGTATATATACCATTGTTGTGTGGTTGTTATTATAGAAATCGTTAAGTAACATTATGCATTAATGAGCCAATCATAAAAATTTCTGTACTGTAATACTGTATGTACAGTACATGCATAAGTAATCAAATACAATAATTACAACTAGAGTTGTTATTGGCTTATAGAAAGCCAACTCTAGCCACAAAACAGAGCCAAACCAAACCAAGCCATTAGAACTCTAACCTTAAGCTATAGATTAAGCTGTAGTTTAAATAATGGCTTTAAGCTATAGACTAAGTTGTAGTTTAAACCATGACTTTAAAATATAATTTAAGCTATCATATAGGCGCGAAATAACATTCATGAATATTATTTTGAAAATGGCTCATAAAATATACTTCCTGGCCAAAAGTTTAGAATCACCTTAAAGATTTATATAAATTTGATTTATATAGCTGTGTAACTTTCTAAAAAAAAGTGACACATTTTATGTCACCTACATTAATAGTCCTGTATGCACATCATTTTTGCTTAGTCACTTTATCATTTTTTTAATGATAAAAAAAAAGAGCTGATGGATTTTGAACATAAAAGAATTATCAGTTTTCATAAAGCTAATAATTCTAAAAGAGCAATTTCAAAAAAAACTTAATATAATAAAATCACAATTTACAATTTCAAATACTATTCTATTGCCACAAGAAACAAACATCTGAAAAAAATGACTTAACATGATAAATGCTATCTCAAGACAATAATAAAAAAACTTCTGTTATGAATCTGTAAAAAAATATACAAATTTTCTTGAAACCATTCAAAAATAATGTGAATCAAAGGACTATTAAATATGCTTTATATTAAATAGGATATCATAGTTAAATAACCTTTAAAAAGCCTTTCATTAGTAAGATTAATTAAAAAAAATTGGTTGAATTAGGCATGTAAAAAATGTTTGTAGAAAATATATAACTGGAAAAAAATAATATAGAGTAATAAATCAAGATTCATATTATTTAAAAGTGATGAAAAAATTTATATATAAAGATTTCCTAAAGAAATATATAATTCTAGTTATCTGATTTCTACAGTAAAATATGATAGTAAAGAATTATATTATAGAGATATTTTCTTGATTTGGATTGGATTCTTTAGTTAAAATTAACAGTTGTATTAATAATTAAAGATACAGTATATAAAAAAGATTGTTAACTATTATCTAATATCTTTTTTAAAAAAGTTTAAGAAAAGCAATAGTGAATATTTTTTAAGCAAAATAATGCTAGAATTTATATTAATGTACAAACTCAGAATTTTATAGAAGAAGTAGTGATATCTTTCTTACTGTAGCCAGGACAAAAACCAAACTCAAATCTGATCAAGCACCTATAAAATAAACTCGAACGATATATAAAAACAAAAAATATTTATTCAAAAAATTTAAATGAATTAACTTTTTTAAAAAAATATTGGTCAAAGATTTTAAGTAAAGTTTTTTAAACCTAATAATTAAAATAAAAAATCAAATAAAGGATGTAATAAAAATATACTGCTATTTTACTAAATATTAATAAGAGTTTGATAAATTTTTTTCTTAAAATAGATTTAATAATAAATAAATTAATTTAATTTTTTTAAAAAATTTTTATTTATTTTTTTTTTAATTAATTAAAAGCATAAAATGCAAAGTTTTTATTTGATAATTTAATATCAATACTATTATATCAAATATCTTTATAGAATAAATTATTACTATTTTAAATATAAATTAATGCTATCTAGTTAATGTTATTTTCAATACTATTAATTTTTATTAAGTCAATTCACTATCCTGATTAACCAATTTACATTAAAAAACAAGTCTGCATTTAGATAAAACTTACACAAGAGAAAAAAATTCTACTACTAGTTTTAAACCTACTTTTTTATTGGTTCAATCATATTTTTTGATTGTTGCCAGGAAAATATTATATAAAATATTATTATAGAGATTAACCCCAATCATTCCAGTTACTTGTTATTACTAATTTTTGAGATATATCATTAGCATATCATTGCATTACCATTTTTACCATCTGTAGAACTGGTATTCTTGCTTGAATTTCAATTTAATTTTAATAATTCTTATTAGACTCACTTGATTTTAATAATTTTACTTAGATTTTTATTACCTGTGGCAGATAATCTTTGTTCTTTTAGTCTGTTTAAGTTCAAAAAATACTACTCTTGAAATAGATCTTCAAGCTCCAAATTGAAATAAATTAGCTTAGGATTAATCTCGTTATATTATATAATGAAGTTTACTATTGCATATTTATATTAGAGTTTGTAAACTTGTTAACAAAATTAAATCAAAAGCTTTTGTTTATGCAACTTCTTTTGCTTTAATCTGTTTTCAACTCGTAATTATTATAAAGAACAGAAATTCTATCTTTATACAATTTATCTAAATTTAAAAATTAATTATTGGCTGATTAGGTATAATATGAATTGCAGACCAGTCAACCAATTATAAAAGTAATAAATTTAAAAAAAATTTATATAATAATATAATATAATAATATTTTTTTTCCTCAATTCAGTTGATGTTGTTTATTTATTAAATCAAAATAAACTATTACAAATAAAAGTTATATATATATATATTTATTCAACCTAGGTTATTTAGCTGTAACATAAAGTTTTTAAATGCAATTTATAGAAATGATATATTGTTTGTAAATTAATTAGAATTAGAATCTTATTTGTTTAATAAAGTCAACACCTACAGATTATCTTTATAGATTATGTATTCTAAATCCAGATTGGGTTTTTATTTTAATACAAGCTATTTTGATCACTTTCTATAAACTCTTGTATTAATTCTCTGGTCTTGTTTATCTTAACTATATAATTCTTGATCTTATCCCTTAAATTGTAGAATATTTTTTTATAATGTTTAAAATTTTTTAACTAAAAAATTACTTTTCATTTATTTTTTTAAATAATTAAACTATTTTTTTAAAAATTTATATAACATTAGTTTTAATTATATATTATCTATTTATGGTATCTATTTTTTATTTATTTAATAAAAATTTAGAGTTTAATTATAAGCAAAATTTTAATTTTATTTAAAAAAATTTTTTAATAAAAGTTAATATTAAACAAACTTAAAAATTTTTTAAATTAAAATTTATATAATTATAATCAGTTTTGTAGAATTATTTACAAAGAATAACTTTAATTATTATAATTTTAATGATTTAATTATAAACATTTTAACTTGTATTAAAAGCAAAATAATTTTTTTACTTTAAACATATATTAAATTTTACTGTTATTGCTGATCCTCGAGATGTGTCACTAGCATAGCATCGCACTACCATTTTCACCACCTGTGGAACTGACATTCTTGCTTGGAATCTGATTTAATCTTGTTAATCCTCACCAGATTTACTTGGTCTTAACAATTTTTGCCTGGATTGTCACCACCTGTAGCAGATGACCTTTGTCCTTTCAGTCTATTTAAGTTCAGAAGAATATTATTCATGGAATAAATCTTCAAGCTTCAGATTGAAATAGATCTTGCTTAGAATTAATCTCTTTGTGTTGTGTGACAGAGTTTGCTATTGCCAGTTTGGATTAGAATTTGTGGGCTTATATCAGAGTTAGACCAGAAGTCATTCCTCATGCAACCTTCTGTGCTTTGACCTGTTTCAGTCCATGATTGTCGGGAAGACCAGAGATCATATTTTCATGCAGCCTAACTAAATTTGGAGAGTGGATTGTCGACTAATTAAGTATAATATGAATTGGAAGCCAGTCAACCAATCATGAAAGTGATAAATTTTTGTAACCAGGTGGGATTGAACCCATGACCTTCTCCTGGTAACCTATGAAGCATTACCATTGTACTATAGACCTATAGGTCTTTTTAAGTTTTTTATATTCTTTTTGTAAAATAATACAATAATATAATATAAAATTATTATTATTATTTTTATAGTAAAACGTGTACATGACAAGTAATCTTTATTAATACATTTATATATCCAGACAAATACCAAGTATCTTTACAAATTAATCAGAAATTGATTAATACATTAAATACTCTTTATGTTTCTATAGCTAATCTGCAAATTAATACTGTCTAGTATATATATTGCTATAAAACTAGTTTTGATAACCACTATTATCGGACTATATATTGTCATATATCGTTTCTACCTCAGGAGAAAAATAAAGACGGAGAACTAGTAGCAGGGAGGCACTTTAGATGGACAGGGCCAATGTGGTATGCTGAAGTTCCTAGAGGCATACAAATTAGTATAGTTCTGAGATTTATGAGGTCAAACGAAAGAGGCAATAGTGATTTGTTTTTCAAAGGTCAAGTTATTTAGTTGATAAAATATGTGTTCAAGCCTGCCAATTTCTAGGCAAAATTGGAGCCTTTATATATATGTTTAAGTTATAGTATTTTCGTACAGGATAAATATATGCTATGGTAAAAATATAAGTTAAGATATAAATACTATTTTCGTTAGAATATTCAACTATAGTAGCATTTATATAGATAAATACTTTGACAAAGATAATATAGTAAGTAAAGATAAAATAAAATAGAAACATTCTAAAAATGGTAAAGATTCAATAGATACAATAGGTGCTGAAGGTGCAATAACAGATCTGTAATACAAGATTATTCTAGAATAACTAATATTTCAAGGGTCAATGTTAGTGAAAATCGGTCAAGGGGTAGTGAAGATCTTGGGCGAAAATCAAGTGTAACAGTATATTCGTTTTACTAAGTGAAATTGTCTCTTGTGTTGATCAAGCCCAAAGTATCCATCTTATCATTTTATACCAGGATGACCATAAATACACTCAGAGTAAGATGAGTCTATTCTCAACACAAAAGTTATATATTTCATAAACAGCACTTTTACGAATTTCACTAGCTATTAGAAACTATCCAGAAGCATTGATAGGTATTTTTGGATGCATATTAAAATGTCTTCTAATAATATTAATAACTTTATTTTGCAGGTCAGATTGACATACAATATAGTATTCAGACTCGATATGTTCCAAATTGGGTTTAAAAGTAGGATCAATAAAATTGAACTCTGTTATAGCTTCTTCTAGATAATATTGGCTACAATAAATTCGTTTACAGCTCTTAAGTTTTTCTCTTATTGCTTTTTCAATATGCCATTAACAAAGCTGTATATTGGTATTTGGTCACACCTCTTTGACTGCATTAATTTCTGCGAAGTCCTTATCAATGTAGAAATATCATGGATACAACCTCTTGTTACAAAGAGAATGAAAAAAACCAACAAGTGCCTTTGTTTGTAATCCTGTTTGCTCTTTATAATTAATTGCTTTTATAGTATTTAAGATGAGATATACTATTGAAAATCCTGCCCCTCAAAATTAGCAATGATTCCATAAAGTTCAAAGCATCCCTTTGCTATTTTGTAAGTCACATCACAATGCATACTTGAAACTGGTAATAGTTTTTTTATTAAGGGAATCATAAACCCAATTGTCATGATCAAGTCAGTATTACAATCAAAACAAAGCTCACTAATAGTATGAGATCCTTATAAAAAGTGATGAGCAGAGATAACATGATCTTCTTCTGTTTTGTAGAAGTTTTGGCAAGATGTCGATCACCAATAGTGGATTTGTTTTGTAGTAACAAGTGAAATATCAAATATTTGACGAAGATATATTCGCAACTGTATAGGATCCATGTGAAGATTTTGCATAATTTCATATTTTACTTCTGGTGCAATTGTAATGTTGATAGGCAACTCATACTGAATTTCATGACAAAATCTTACCATTGCCTCTTTCGCTGGTATATCGATGTTGATAATTATTTTACCATGGCAATCAAAACGGGTTACCCTTTTTCGGCTTGATTCTTTATATTCACACTCAAGTTCACAACATTGTGAACATGCAAGGTAGAATGTGCCAACTCCAGAATAATGTGTTGACATAGAAGGACCAGTCGTAAATCTATAAGATAAGAAAAATTAGATATAACACTTACTGTATATCTTATCTTATTGTATATAATACTTATATTCAGTTATATCCATCATGTCCTTCGATCTTATCCACTATTAACATTATAGTATTTTTTAAATTCTGATATGCAGCAGTTAACATGTCATCATTAAGTTCAATGCGCAAGTTAAATGCAAGGATATCATTCTTCTTGAAATTATTTATTTTAACGGAAATATAATTGACAACATTAGCAAAAAGGACTTGCTCAAAGATCACGTTTATTTCTTTTTCTGATTGATAATTATTGATAGAAAGAAATCGCTTGTCAGCTCTTTTCTTAGTCCTTGCAATTATACAATTTGAACAGGTCTTGAAAAATTTGCCTTTATAAAGAAAGATATCCGCAGACAATCGTTTTTGGCAAGAAGTGCATGTATTCATTTTGTGAAAAAAAAAGCTTATATGTATAGCTTAAAAAAAATGATACGAAGTTGATTTTTTTAAGATATGATATAAATAATCTAATTAAGGGATACGCGTTAGTAAATATATTGTTTAAAACGTAAATTATGATTATATTATACGATGATGAATGGGTCAGGTGGACTGGCGATTGATATGTCTGGTCACATGGCCAGACAAATTCACCTACATTTTGACAATTTTGAGAAGAATGGTCAAAATTAACTTTTCTTTTTTAATTCAAAAAATAAATCAAATTCTGAAACAGAAATTAATAGAAGTCATATATATCAAACCTAAGTTCAGACCATTTACAAACAAGACAATCCAATGGAGCAACTATTTATCACACTTCTCAGAGAGCCCTCTAATCAACAATACATGTCTAGACAGTAGTATTAGATAGTGTAAAAAAATTTTCAGTATCATCAGAAATTATATAATCTGTGAGAGCATTTCAGTTCTCTAAACCTTTGAATGGCGTTACATGCACACAGTTTAAAAATCATCAATCAATCCAATAAAAATATCAAAAATGTGCACAATAACAGCTATAGCAATCTAATAGCTTTCAAAATTAAACTTCTTTCAGAAACACTTTCAACATATTAAATACTTTATCAATATCATCCTTACCAATATTCAAATGGGTATTATTCAAGATGCAAACTTCATACTGAAGACATCTAGCATGTCTTAAAGTGTCCTGAAGTCTCAGAAGAGGCCAACCAGATTATAAACAATATCAATCAAATTCTCTAATCTCAAACTGATTCTCACATATGGCAAGTTATAGAATTGTCATGTGACATGACTAATAGAATCTTCTTTACAATAGACATCACCAACTGGGTCAAGGCATCAACTGAATCCCTAATCCAATTATACAACTCAATTTGGAAATCTTGATATAACACCACTAACATCTTACCTCTCACAAGTATTAAATAGAAATCGAACAAATCATCAAACACCACCAACCTAATCAAATCAAAAAGAAATTATACTGTTTCTAGTAGAAGCTTACACTCCAATGATATCTAAAATGAAATCATCATAGATCTATCTACAATCATCACTAACTTTTTTATTCAATGTAACTATAATTATAACAAGTGCATTCAAAAATTAGTATTATTTCTTCCAAACACTATTCCCCTTAATACTAAGTAGGTATTCATAGCTGCTCAGTGCCATATGACAAGATATATTGTTTTAAACTTTCTTTTCAATATTAGTCATATGATTACTGTAGGCAAGCTAGTATTTAACTCATTGTATCAACATATAAGAGATGTTGTTTCTTTTATAATATATATCTTGTTATATATAAATAAAATAAAGAAATAATATTTATCTACAATATATATATATATATATATATTTGAAGGTAACAAAAATATTAAATATAATTTGGCTTTTAAACAATACATATATAATACACATCAGAAATTTTCAGTTTATCTTTGAAAATAATTATTTACTTTTCTAATTTGGTAAGTTGTTATATTATTTTGATATAGTTAGGTTATATAGAATATAATTTATATTATATGGGCTATAAATCTTTATATAAAGTAAACTGATTTCAGTTTTTTGTATATGAAAATAAGCAAAAACTAATAACTAATCAGAAGATTGTATCTATTAATCGGATACTAGTTATTATTAACAGAAAACAAAAACTCTAAAAAAATAAAATATTATCTTTTAATATATATATAGATATTTGAGAAAAAGAATATTAATATAATATTTTAAATATATTTTGTATAAAAATAAATAAAAATGTTTTTTTTAATTTGAAGATTACTTATATAAATTTCATTTGATAAAGTAAAGTATTTGTTTAAAAAATTTTCTATTTTTTTCAAAGCATTCATCTTTCTATTGACTTTTTGTGTTTTGTAATAAATAAAAATAATCACCTTTTCTAATAAAAGATTCTTACTAACTATTTATTAGTCACTATTTATATTATTATTAAAAAAATTTTTTTTTATAAATTAAAATATTGTAAAAAAGAGTTTTTTGTAGTTGTTTTATTTATAAATACTTTTTAACTATATAATCTATATAAAATTTTTATTTGAAATTAATTTTTAATACTTAAAAATTTTAAAAATTCTTTTTATATAAATTTTATATTATTGTTTTTTTTTTTTTTTATAAGGGCTAAGGTGCGATACATGCGCGGATTTTAAATTTTATATTATTGTAATTCTTAGGTTTTAAACTTTATTTTAATATTTTTTTTATTAATATTTATATAATAGTTTTTAATAACAGATAAATAAAAAAATTTAAAAAGTTTTACAACACATTATATAGTTTGTTTAAAAAGTTTTTAAATAAATAAATATTTATTTATTTAAAATAAAATTTTAAAATTAAATATAAAAAATAAATAAAAGTTTTTTAATACAATATTAATAAATAAATTTATTTTTAAAAAGTTTATATATATATAATTTTTTTAAAAAAATATTTAACAAGTATAAAAATTATAAAAATATTTATCAATTAATTTTATTAAAATTAATTATTTAATAAAAAAATTTTTTTAATTTTTTTTTAATATAATTTTTAATTAATTTATTTAAATAAAAAATTAATTAACTTAAAATTTAATAATGTTATTTTTTAATTATTTTTGTTTTTTTTTAAAAAAAAAAAAAAAAAACTCTTTCCTGTACACAACATTTTTCTTAAAAATTTCCTTTTATAGTAATTTTTTCAAAATTAAAGAAATAGTTTTTTTTATCTTCG